TATGCATTTTACCAACTTGTGATAAAAATTGAAGAAATGTATCATTCCAATCAGTTTGTGTCAATACACGTTTTAAATAAACACTTAACATATCTTTTCGAAATGTCATTTGTGCTGAATCTACTGTTAATCCACAATCTTTTTTAGGCATAAAACCCTGAAAACCATCATTACGAATAAGAAAATATTGTTTTGTTATATCAAATGAAAATAATTTTCTATAAACTGCATCGGATAAAACTGGTATAAGTGGAAAAACAATGGGTGCAAATGTATTAAGCATCGCTATATCATCCGAATTAAAATTAAGAAATTTAGATAAATAATCAAAACGATAACGAAGATCTGATTGAAGTCGATTACCATCAATATGTTCGACCATTGTAACAAAAAAAGAATTTATTGTGATGCCAAAGCGTTAGTTCGTCTTCTTTTTTTCTTTTTCTCCAAGAATAGTTCTTTTCTCCTTCGCTTATTCTCTTATCTCGTATTATATAGAAAAAAACATGAAGCTTTATTATGCATGATTTCTGAACCATCGTCATTTTACATAACACATCAATACAATCTATAGAATCTACTAGTTATTTTCATTAGACTTTCCGCTTCGGAAAATGCTGGCTAATTCATTCATACGATGAGAATAACTCAGAAACAATGTAATGTTAAATCAAATATTTCCATAAAAATAGAAAAGAACAATCAATATTAGCGTGTTCAACCAGAAAAATTGCTTTACATGACATAATTTAGTGTCTACTAGTACATTATCTTCTCGAATAATTATCTTTTAAAATTTATGAATTAAATCTTTTTATAATAATAGTATTTTCCATTAAAAAATGTATAGTTTAATGATAATAAAACGACTAATCCAAGCGTAGAATTTATTCATGGAAAATTGTTATATGAGTAGAGAGCGCACATTTATGAAGTGTGCTTGAACTAATACATATTTCAAGGATATTTTATCTTAAATAACCATAATTGATTAAAAATTAAACGAACTGAATCATACATTCGAAAGATTTTCTAAGAGATTATATTCATGATAAAAATTAATTTATTCTTAGAACTTCTTCTGATACTTTTTAATCTCTCGTTATTGTGTTTCAAGGACATAGATAATAAATAAGATTGTGCTAATGATTAAACATTAAATGACATCCGAAATATAGTGTTGAACGACATTGATATGCAATAGATGTTGATAGACAAAATTATTATTGAAACAACTAACGAAGTACGTGACAATTGAATAGAAACAAATAATTTATAAAATTTGCATAGACATAGAACGCTCGAGTTTGAATTGTTTCTTTCTTTTTTATTAATATGTCTAAGTGAAATAAGAATATATACTATTAATTATTTACAAAACAATTTTTTATATGCACATTCAATTATATGAAATGAATTTAGTCTTTTTTCATTTACGTATGACAAAAGATCGTGTAATTTTTTATGTAAAATGTAATAACTCTACGTATGGATGTATGAATAAGTATCTGAAATGCATTCTATTATTTCTGATCATAGACGTGAAATTAATAGTGATGAGTAGTTTATTTCAAAGATAAATCTATCATTTTCTAGACAGTCAATATATTAGAGAAAATTCGATATTTGCTTATCTTTTACTGATGAACTACGAGTAATTAGTTCTATTGTAATCAGAATTCTTATTCATCTGAAATTGTTATATTCTCCGTTTCTTTAATTTAGTATAAAATACAGATAGAAACTATTAGAATATTTAAAGATCTCAAAAATATTGAGATTTTTGAAGAGAATTAACATTCTAATTCTTCTTGATGTTTTCATTTATTTGAAATTTTACAAATGTACTTAGATAATACTCGATGTGATATAATGAATGTTCGCGTAATGCAGTCGTGAGTCTATATTTAATTATGTGACGTTTAGTTTATTATTTGATGACGCAAAAGAAAATAAAACTCATAATTATAGTTTTAAGTGCATAAAATTCCTTTTTTTTTTGAAGCTTATAATTAATTATCTGACAGGTGGATTTGATAATGAGAACTTTTTTTACGCATGAAATGTTCTATTCCATTAGTGATGATTTATTATTTTAAAATAAAAAAAAAGTCATTATTAGAATTGTATCTGTTGAACGTATTGATAGACAGTTTTTTTTCCTTAATTTTGTATACATTCACAGATATATTCTATATGCGGCCTTATGTCAAATGAAAAATAAAACAATACTGTTTGTAGTTCTGGAAGTCCTGTCTACAAATTATGTCTGTATTTCTATTGCAATAGATTTATTAAGATAAAAGAACTAATTATAATGCTAATAGATTTTATTGTTTGAATGCAAATTTTCTGAATATTATTATTGCTTATCACATTTTTAATCAGAACAGAAATCTTAAATAATATTTTGTTATACAATATTTTAATTAATGAATTATTCATATATATACAACATTGAGAACTAATATTAATCAAATCTTTTTGATTTATTTCATAGCATAAATGAAAACAATATATATTACAAAATCGAATATATTATTTAAATAAACATTTTGTTTGTTTTTTTAATGGAGTATTTTGATTTATACCTTGTTCAAGTGAAAATCCATAATGCATTGCAAAAAAATCATTCTGTATTCGAAAAACTTTATTTATTGTTCGTATACTTAAACGTTTCTTGGTATTATCAAAACTTTCTTCCTTCCATATAATATCAAATAATAGACTTTCTAAATATCCAAGTAACATATTAACATGTATATAATCAACATTCGTTGATTCTGTATGATCAGATTCAGTATGTATTTCACCAATTTGTGATAAATATTGAAGAAATATATCGTTCCATTCGGTTTGAATAAAAATTTTCTTTAAATACACACTTAACATATCTTTACGAAAATCAGTTTGTGCTGATATAACAGTTGTATTTGTTTCTTCTTCACTTGAAAAACTTTCAAAATCATTATTTCGAAGAAGAAAGTATTTTTTTATTACATCAAATGAATATAATTTATTATAAATTTGTTCGGTTATAAATTTTATTTGTGGAAATATAATGGGTGCTAATGAATTAAGTAGAGTGACATCTTCTTTTGTAAAATTAAGAAATTTTGATAGATAATCAAAACGATAACGAAGATCCGATTGAAGTCGAGTTGTATCAATATGTTCAGACATATAAAACAATTTTCTAAAAAAAATAAAAGAAAATTCTATGTATATTGAATATGATGGTAGTTGTTTTGAAAAATAAGAGACCTAGAAAAATATTTTTTTCTCATATCTCAAGGTGCTTTTTCCATTTAAAATTCTTTACACTCACGTTCACATTCCTGTCATATTGGAAATAATTGGCTATTTCCTCTAGGTAATAATATAGTTTATTCTTTGAAAAAAAAATCTTTGCTCCATCCTTCGTGAAAACTATGTAGAATCTTTCTTTGTCGAGGAAATTTTTAATTAAACTATTCTATCAATTACAAAAAAAAACTTTTTTTGTAGTCACATCCACAAGTTGAAACTAAAAAAATGGCAAAACCTAATTATTTTCTCTTGAGAATTATATAGAATGATAAGTTTCTTATTTTATATACTCATACAAACTATTATGCTATTCAAGCGTATAAATCTAATCTTAATATTACGTTTGTAACAATATATATGTTAGGGAATACAATGATTTATTGAACTGTCAAACTATCACTAACTAAATAGAATCACATCATTTGGAACTAAATGATCTCCATGTTTTTTTTTTTCTTTTTCTCATTCATATGAACTTTTTCAACTTACAATATATCTCCGAGGATGTTTTCTGTCGTGCTTTATAGAAAGAATCCACAATAGTAATTTTAAAATATAATAAACCTCAGGAGATTATAAGTTTTCCCTAATTACTATGTTCTATTATTCTCATGTCTTACAAAACAAATCAACTATTATAATAGAATTCAAGAATGGAGGAATTCTTCTATTAATAGATAGTAATTTTAATCTTCTAGCTTATATTTCATGTTAAATAAGTATATAGTACAATACTACAATTAATATTTGTAATTTGCTATTTATAGAAAAAAATATACACCTAAATATTAGATGATCTATTTACAGTTTTTCTATTATTTATTAACCTTCCGGTGGTGTTTGTGGATCCAAGAGACCCACCACAGTGTTTTTTTTCTACTTTAAAATCTCTGCAATTCGAAGTGATCTTTTCGCTAATCGTTAATCTTCTAAAGATGCATAAGAACCATATGAAAATTCTTGCAAAGCCATCAGCAGTTTAAAACTAGAGTGTGAGTCCGCTGGGACCCCGCGACAACATTTGTGTTATATAGATGATTTTAATTGTTACTACGTATGCTCTCTATTGTTTCAAAGATCTATTTATTGAAAATTGATTAATTTGTTGCTGCCAATAAGGAATTATATGTTTCTCTATCCTTATGTATCTATCGAAATATTTTCACCATCCTCTTTGCTTTTGTTCACGATAATCATGATTCCTTTTTTTTGAATGATCAGCATCTTACGTACACTACAAGCGTATCAACACATCAATGACTGAAAAGAGATCATGATATAGATCTTGGTCTATCTTATGCAGTACAATACACATGAAAAATCACGTTTGCCTTATTTATTTACATGTGGGTCCACTAGAACCCACATGCATCGTTCGTGTGACAAAAAGCGTACACCTCCGAAGAGTTAAAAGATGACATTCTTCATAAATCTTATTAGGTATCATTTTTGTTCTATATTCAAATAGTTATGAGTTGATTATTTAAGGACATATTCAACTAAAAAAAATTCATATAAATTCCAATTGCACATGAAATTTTCTATTATTCTACATGTATATTGTTTTATTTTTTTCAGTCGTTTTTCTTTATTAATATCTTGAAATGAATAAATTTATACAAAGCTAATTATACATTGAGAGAGTAGTTTGAACCTATTTTATTCTACAAATCAAAATAATTCAAGATATATGTGTATAGAATGACAGAGATATCATCATCACATTGATAGTGAACGTTATGAGTAATTATATAAATTTAATCTCTAAACTTACATAGCTTGTATTTAATTTATTCTTGTACTTTTTTTTCATGAACTAGTTTTGAGTCTAATGCAAGAATCGAACACGAGTAGATGTGTAATAAAGAATGATTTGCGTTCTTTTTTTTGTACTCATGACATTTATTAGTTAAGACCATTGAAGCATGACATTTACCATTTATATCCATGTTTACAAACATAACTAAAACAAAATATGGCGATTAGTAAAGATGAAATATGTGAAGGTTTATATAATGTAGATTTTTGGAATAAGCTTGATTTACATATTAGTTCCTATGTAATAACTCCATT